GACTTTTGTCCTGCCCTGGTAAAATGGTATGAATAATGTCTTTTGACTCGTATATAAATTAGATTTAAGTGAGGCAGAGCTGCGGGAAGTCGCTGGCCTCCCTCTCTCTTCCAGAGTCATCCAACTGCAATGTCCAGACAAAAGTCAGGATGACTAGAGATGGCCCTGGATGCCTTGAATGACCTCGGCATCTTCGATGCCTGACCGAACTCTAAGCGCTCCACAGTGCCTGCCTCAGCCGCCTTCATGGCCTTGGAACAAATTGTTCTCATCCACCCATTCCACCAGGGGAAGTCTTTACATGCTTGGGGTGGACGTCTCCCTACATTACCAACAGGTTTGACGCCTGTTGCTTACCCACAACCTGGTTTAGTCTGTCAAGACGGTTTTATTAGGATGTGGTTGCCGGGCATGCTACAGCTTCTTGGAGTTACAGGTGAGAGCTGGGTGACATCTGTCACCCAGGGTAGATGAGTAGCCCTGAAAAGGGGTCAAGCAGCCCTCACATCAGAGGCGCTAAACCTCCCTGAACACCCCATACAACCCAAGGCAAGGAAAGGACAGAAGGGAAGCGAAGGGAAGCCAGGAGATGATGAGGAGGGAAAGCATCCCAGTGAAAATGCCCAGAGCTGGAAAATGGAGTGTCAGAAAGACCTGACTTTGAATCCTTCCATAGACACTTGCTAGCTGTATGACCATGGATGAGTCAATGTAATCTTTCTCAGCCTCAGTTTTCTCATCTGTAAAATGGGGATGATAATAGCACCTACTTCCCAGGGTGGTTGTGACTCTCACATGAGTTAACATATGTAAAGCACTTTGCAGACTTGGAAGGGCTATAGAAATAAGAGCTATTATTAAAGTAACAACTTGCTTTTTAGTTGTATGGCCCCAGGCATCTGGCCTGGGCCTTGAAGGGTAGAACTTCAATAGACCAAGATCCACCAATGAACAAACATTTATTAAGCACCTACTATATGCCAGACACCAGGAATACAAAGACAAAACTAAGATAGTCCCTCTCCTTGAAGAGCTTACGTTCTACTACGAGAATAACCAAACAAGCTTTTGTGCCAAAAAGCTGGGGTCACAAAGAAAAAGGAAAAAACAGGTTCCTTTCTAATTAATGGATGTGACCACATGCACACAAAAAGGTGTACAGATGATATGTGTCTCTGGCCCTTGCAGACGGGGGTGAGAAGTGCGGCGATTGTCAAAGTCCTCCTGGTGAGTCGAGTCTTGAAGGGAGGTGGAGGTGAGGAAGTGGAGTCACCAGAGAGAGTCAAAACACAAAGATGGGAGATTGGCATCGGATAAGCAAGCAGCCAGCATGGCTGGACCCGAGAGTGCCTGGAAGGGAGTCTGTAAGAAGACTGGAAAGACAAGAAGGCTGTCAAGAGCTTGAAATGTAAAACAGCAAGTTTTATTTTATACTAGAGGTAATAGAGAACCATTGAAATTTGAGTGGAGGATGTGGTTCAACTGATAGATGCTTTAGAAAAATCAGTTTTGTTGGGGCACTGGATAGAGTGCAATGGAGGGAGCACTGGAGTCAGGAGGATCTGAGTTCAAATTTGGCCTCAGACTCTTACTAGCTATGTGTGTCCCTGGACAAGTCATTTAACTCCAATTGCCTCTTTCCTACCCCTACTCCACCTAAAAAAAAAATCACTCCTATGGACGATAGATTGGAGGAAGGGCTACTTCAATTAGGAGGCTACTGCAGCAGTCCAGGGAGATAGCCCGTGAAGGCCAGGGCCCTTGGTGGGATTCAACAGTCACAGATAAGTGAATAGAGGACGTAATTCAAAATACACATTGTCGGGGGTCAGGGATTGGGGTGGGAGCACTAACAGCTGAGAGAATCAGGGAAGGCCTTCTGAAAGTGTTGGTGCTTTAGCCACAGACACTTCTCTAGCTGTGTGAACCTGGGTACGCCACATAACCTGCCTCAGTTTCCTCATCTGTAAAATGGGGATAACACCACCACCTACCTTTAGAATAAATGCAAAGTGCTTTACGTACCTTAAAGCAGGATGGTCAGGAAAGAGGTAACAAAGGTATGAAATAACGGTGATTGAGTTGTGAGTAGTGCAGAGGGAATGAAGCCGAATTGTTGAGGGAGGATAAGAATTCATAACTGAACTGACTGACTATGCACGGTGAATGAGAGCCAAGAGTCAAGGATGACACCCAGATTTAACGCCGAGTGTCTGGAGGTATCCTCCGAGTGAAGAGGAAACTGGGATAAACCAGGCGGAGGCGTCTAGCAGCTGGTGATGGAGAATTGGATAGCTTCTATGTGCCACCGTCTTAAGTGTTTTACAATTCTCTAATCTGATCCTTAAAGTCACCCTGGGAGGTAGGTGCTCTTACTATCTCCTTTTTACAGTTAAGGAAACTGAGGCAGACAAAGGTTGTGATTTGCCCAGGGTCCCACAGCTAGTATGTGTCTGGGGCTGGGTTTGACTCCAGGCCCACTGCTCTATCCACTAAGCCACTCAGCTCAGGAGAAATGAAGGCTGGATATGTATTGTTCAGTCATTTCAATTGCATACAACGCTTCACGAACCCACTTGGGGTTTTCTTGGCAAAGATACTGGTTTCCCATTTCCTTCAGCTCATTTTACAGATGAGGAAAATGAGGCACACAGGAATTAAGTGCTTGCCCAAGGTTGCATAACTGAAGTGTCTTGAGGCCAGATTGGAACTCGGGTCCTCCTAGCTGTGTGACTCTGGGTAGTCACATAACTTGCCTCAGTTTCATCTGTAAAATGGGGATAATAACAGCACCTACCTTTAGAATAAACGCAAAGTGCTTTACGTACCTTCAAGCAAGATAGAAAGTAATAAGGACTGCAGGAATGGTACTCTGTGCACTGTGCAAAGATGAAGGCTGGATATGTAGCGTTTGATAAATGCTTGTAACTTGCTTTAAGTCATATAGCTAGTGTGGGAGGTATCGGGAGTCTTAAAAAACACAAACCTCCAACAATTTCAAATCAGTTTATTTACTTAAATTGATATTACACAATTCAAAGAAAAAAAAAGGGGGGGGTCACACAAACAGAACCTTAGAAAAAAAACACATATCAGGCATTAATTACCATGAAGAATAACCGGATGTCCTTTCCACGCAATCCTGAAACTACGCATTCATGATTAGGCCAAGGGCTCTCAACACTTATCAAGACACTAGTAACACACAAACGTGGCCACAGACACAACTCTGAACATGGAGGACGGCAGCAACAATCCCCATGCTGCGCTTCCCTGTTGAGAAGTTTGCATTCCATAACGGACTACTGATCACCAGGGAAGGTTAACACGCTACATGCAGATAGGTGAATATGTTGCCAAGGTTATGGCAACAGAAACAGCGCCCCCCACCCCCATCTTAATTCCAAGCAGTGGCAAACAATTTCAAGTATTGAGAAAAAAATATATGTGTGTATATACATATATGTATATACATACCTATATGACTCTTACATATACATATATGTATGTATGTGTATATATATACATGTATAAAATTTGTAAACCACTTGTGGGGGAAGGCAATGAGTCTATATATATAATATATATACACACACATTTGTGTATATATACATATATGTATATATATATATGTGTGTGTGTGTATATACACATATAGGTTGAATGGGGACTCTTGCAGCAATACATTCAAGTAATGTGAAGCAGAGGTGGGGAATGGGTTCCAGGTTGACCAACTCCCATGGCTTTAACTTCTCAAGCACACAGCAGGGCCCTATACCTGAGCTGGGGCCTTGGGACAGGGGCCACTACTCACTGTCTTTCAGGTTTGTGGGGAAGTCCCCACTACCTGCCCTAGATGGAGGTACTCCAAGAAACTGGATTCATGGGTTGGGGAGGGCAGGAGCCCCAGGCCATGACCATTGGACCCCTTTTAACCGGCTGCCAAAGACCTAGAAGTTGATGGGCTCCATTAGAAGGTCTCAGTCAGTGAAGGTGTTCCTGGGATGCAGGGCAGGAAGGTCCCCTCAGTGAGTGTTAGGGCCAAACACAGGCTTTAGGGAAGTTTCTTGCATATATTGTTTTTTAATGGCACAGAATGTGCAAACTAACATCCATATTCTGTCATGGCCGGGGAGTCACCAGTCACCCAATGAGAGCATGCGTGGGAAAGAGGTGGTCTTGAAGGCCATCCCCTCAGAGGTTCACACAATACTGCTGCCAGGACCCCGTGTTCAGAGAAGACTGAGAGGCCACCGAGCTCACACCCAATGGACATGCGGCTTTTCATTCATGCATCCACAGCCAGTCAGGCCCCAGCGCCAATCACTCCAAGCAAACACACTCAAGTCATTCAACCATGGTGTCATTTTGGCTCCAAAGTCTCATCAGAAAAGAAACATTGAGCTTTCCCTCACACAATCACACAAGCACCCACACACACCCAGTCCCCACCCAAACCCCACCCCACACTTCCAAACAACAAAAAGAAAACCAAAACTCTATATAAAGTTTTTTTTTCTTTAAAAACACTTTTTTTTTTTTAGGTCTGAAGTGTGTGAGAGATTTTTCAACGTCTGTTCTGAAATTAGAAAGCCTGGAGGCTTTATATTCATACTGTCTGTCCTTTAAAGAACATTAAATTAAAAGGACTGTATCTCTTCTCTTGGAACGGCAGGTCCCAAGCTGGCACAGTGTGGTGCTCATCTGTTGTTTCCATCACAAGTACAGGATACAGTTCTGTTAAATACACACAACATACACACACTCACACACACATTTTTTTATATATATATATATATGTACACGCTCGTAGTGCAATATAGTAACTGGAGGTGTGAGGGGAGTAAAGGGGAGAAGATGACAGTTTTTTCTAGCAGTCAGTATGGTTGTAGGGAACCTGTGAGGCGTGATCAAAGGGTCCTCCTCTCCAACCATGGTGTGTAAAGTGCTCCTTCCGATTAACAAAGCTAGTATGGGTTGGCTTAGTGGCTTTTTTTTTAAACTTTTTTAATTCCCCTTAAAGTCAGATTAAAAGCAAGAGATGACGTGCATTCTCATTTGGGCTCATTTGAGCATGTTGAGGATGAAACCACTGAGAATATGCACATTTTGGCGTGAAGAGATCCAGCACACAAAAACGGTCCAAGTTCTTGAGGCGAAAAGTCAGTCTTTGCTTTGGTTCCCCACCCATCCCGGGTGGCTCCAGCCCTGGCCATCTGCAGGTTGGTAGTTTGCTGCTGGAGCACCAGGTGGGGGCAGAGCCATCTTGGAAAAGTGATTGACTGGCAGAAAGCATGGGGAGCGGGGGAAAGAGGAGTGGGAAAAGTAACTGGCCTGGTGTCAGGGTTTCATGCTTGGGGTTCCCTCCTTGTGTCCCAGTGTCCACTGCCTGCAACGGACATAGCATTGGAGGGGCCCGACCCCTGGAAATGGTAAGATAATGATGTAGCAGCGTGACTCTCTTCAAAGGACAAGGGGCAGTGGGGACGGAAATTCTGTGATCTCCCTCAGGGAGAGAAACACCTCCCCCTCTCGTGGGGTGGCTGCGCCAGCTGTGACTGACTGTAGTTACTTCTAATCTCCTTTGCTCTGTTCCTGGGAGGGAGGCAGAAGTCACAGGGCTCCAAAACTGGGATGTGGATTCTTGGAGACAGATCCGAAAGCCTTTGTCCCGACAAGTCTGTCTGGCCGAGACTGCAGACACGATGCAGCCCAAACTGCTGCCAGGAACTGACCCACAACTGGCGAGTGGGCGGACAGCTGTCCCGTGAAGCATAAGAGGTTGGTGGGTGGGCAAGAGGAGCTGCACGGGGGGTTAGGCACAAATGCCAGACAGCAGGGCTGAGAGTCTCCGCTCAATACACATCTTGCCTGTGGTCGGGGGGAAGAAAGAAGACAGTGACTCTCTACAACTGGGTAGACTGAGGCAAAAAAGCAGGAGGAAAAGGGGGAGGTGGCAAAGGGGAGTGTGGTGGCTGAGACATTTAATAACCACAGGGTGTGAGGATGGGAACCGAGGGCCCAAGGTATGCCATGGTACCTTTCCCAGAAGACAGATGGTGCACACCCTGCCTAGACAGTGCCAAGATGAGGCACAGGGGAAAAAAAAGAATGTTAGGTGGCAGTCACTCACTAGACCTTGTGTGACCCCAGGCAAGTCAGTCTCTTAGAGAGTGGGAAGACATGACCTCAGACGTCCCTTCCAGATTTAACTGTACAATCTATTCCCAGAAAACTGGGCAGGGCTTGCCTGGCTCTCACCTTCCTTCACCTCTGGTTCTGGCCTTTCCTTCCCCTCAGTCTGGGGACTGCCCTGGGAAGATAGTATGCCTCGGTGGACCTGGCACTGAACTTGGAGTCAGGAAGACCTGGGTTCAAACCCTGCCTCACTATGCTACTCCAGTATAGCTCTCATCTCAGTCTAAAGTGGAGCTGGTGGGATACCCTGGCTCTCAGGGTTTGCCCATGGTCCGCTTGGGGCAGCTTTGGTGTGCGCCACAATGCACCTCAACTCACATTTGTTGATGTTGTCAATGTCTGCCTGCTCTGTGAGGATCTGCTGGAGGCCCTCCATGAGCAGCAAGGCCTTGTGGTAGCGCTGCACGCAGTCCTCTCGGTGATGGAACATCTCATCCAGGGCTGCAGAGCGCACCTACGGAGAGGAGAGGCAGGAGAGAAGTGAGGGACCCAGCACCAGATCCGCTCTCCTCATCCGCTCTCCACCAAATTGCTCCCCTCCCATCCCCTACAGGTAGCCTTCTGAGAAACCTGAGGGCCTCTCCCTTCATCTCACAGCCTCTATGACCTCCATATTGACCTGCCAGTAGCAAGGCCGGGTTCAAATCACATGTACTGGAATAGGCTGCTAGAAGGGGTGGTAAGCTTCCCATCACTGGGAGGTCTTCAAACAGAAACTGGATGACCAGGATAGAGACTGGACCTCTACCAATATATGTCAGTTAGCACCTTTCCTGCATCTTAAGAGTCTTACAGCTGCCTCTTACATGGTAGTTTGTTTTTATTTTGGTACCTGTGATGTTAGCATCGGGAATTCCTGGATGAGAAAACTCCCACCACCAACGCAGGTTGGCCCTCGAGTCTCTTGAGAGAACTGCCTCGAGCCCTGCGAGTTATGGGACTTACCCAGGGTCCCCGTCCCTGTGACAGTATGTCAGGAGACACGGGAACCCAACTCTTCCGGGGTTTGAGGGCAGCTGTCCATCCATGCCTTTTAGGGCACGATGTCAGGGGATTCCTGTTCAAGGTGGACCACAAGCTCTAAGTGACCTAAAAGGATCCTATGAATGTACTTCTGGGCTCTGGAGAACAATCCTGGGGTCCAGCCCAACACACCGGGAGGGAAGTAAGGCAGTGGGGCATACTGGAGACAGTGCCGTATTTGGGAGCTGGGAAGAAGGGACCTCAAAAACCGGCCTCCAAAACATACGGACTCAGACCCAGAGCAAATGGTCTAACTTCTCAGTGCCCCTGGTTCTTTAAGACTAAGTCCCAGGTGTTGCTTATCTCCATCAGGGAAAGGGTTTTCTATGCCTGGAGTTAAAGACACACACACATATACCCCAAAAAACTGCAGATACTAAAAGCACCCATCTCTCAGGGGTTGTGTGAGCAGGTGTCTCCCCAATTAGAATATAAGCTATTGAGGGCAGGGTTTGGCACAGCCCCCTGCACATAGGCGGGGTTTAATTAAGATTTTCAGATTGAGAGTGAAAGTTCCCATGATACCCTCTGCGTACCTTATGGCACTTCACAGAGTGTTCCCAGGCTTAGGAGTTTTAAGCTGTGCTGACTTTTGGGATATTTTGTTGTATGTTACGGGGGGCAGCAGGGTGCACTGGCTCAGGTCAGCCAGAGGACCTGGACACAAATCTAGGACCCCTTAACTACTGAAACCCCCCCCCCCACCCCTGTGTGGAGCCCAACCAGGATGGCAGAAGCCTGGATTTGGGGTGGGGGGAAAGGAGACCCATACCGTCTGCACAGCGTAGTTGAAGATCAACTTCTCAGCAGTGATGCTGTTGATTCGGTCCATGAGCCTCTGCTTATCCAGGAAGAATTTCTGCAGCTGTAGGTTCAGGCAATGGCAGGATGATACACTCGACTTATAAAGCTCGTTCAGTTTCCGCACGACTGCAGCCGAGTAAGTAAAGGACAGAGACAGGGTGGGGTCAGCCCCAGGCCCTGGATGGAGCACCTCCTTCCCCTGGCCCCGAGGACCACCCACCCCGGGAGGCTGGAGCCCCTTCTGCCCGTGGTCATGGCCCCCTGCCCTGTTCCAGATGCCCACCCTGTGCTGCAGAAGGGAGGGAGGGAGCATGGGCACAGGTGGGTGAACGTGTATGTGTAAGAATGCTATGTATGCATGTATGTACGACTGTGACTGTGTGTATATGTGTGTTGGGTGTGTGTATGTGTGGGAGAATGTATGTATGTGTGAGAGAATGTGTGAATGTGTGGGAGTATGTATATGTGAGAATGTATATGTGTGTGTTCAGTATGTATGTGTGACAATGTATGTGTGTATGATTGTGTGTGTGTAAGTGTATGTGTAAGAGTATGTATGTGTGAGAATGTGTGAAAATGTGAGTGTTAGAGTAAGCCCAGGCAAGATTTTGACTCAGCACGCCCCGCCCTGCCCAGGTGCTGAGAGCGGATTGGCACGGCCCCGGATGGTGTGATGGAGGCACAGGAAATGCAGCCAGGCCCCACAGGCTGGGCCAGGAAGAGCTAAGGCAGTACCACCGTCACAGGCAGAGGATGGTCGATGCACCAGTAGCCCCTGATTTCTCCCTATTGCACCCAGAGCTGCACAGATGGGCTCACCTTTGGATTAGAAATTTGCATTCAAAATGACCTCCCTTCACTCTTGGCAGAGGTGGGGGGCTATGGGTATAGAACACCGTATACCCCATCAGACTGAGCATCACTTACAGTTTTGCTGAATTGCCCTTTTCCTTCCTTCTCTTTTACTTGTTGTTATAAGGAATGTCTCTCTGGGTGAGGGAGGAGGGCAGGACTAGATTGGCCACCAAGGCCCCTCTGAACCCAAGATCCCTGCAAGCTGCAGATGGAGGCGTACACAGGGCAACACCCAGCACGCCCTAACTGTTGGTCCTGAGGGACAGGAGCCCTCCTCCGGGATTCTTAGTCACTCCTACGAAGCAGTGGAGGGGAGGAGGGACGTGGGATGTGATCAACCTCAACACATTTCTGGGCAGCCTCCCTTCCTCTGGTGTTAAGATCCCTGTTCACACTCTTTTTTGTGGGTGTCCCACCTCAGACGCTCACTACTAACTAACTGTGTCCTAGGTTCCACATTTGAGATGTGAAGGGGTTGGATTGAGATGGCCTCTGAGGGCCCTTCCAGCTCTATGTATGACCTTACGGGATGGCATCTCCCTGCGCCTCAGTTTCCTTATCTGTAATTGGAGGCTGAAATCCAGTTGAACTGGATGGCCTCTGAGGGCCCTTCTGGCTTTAAATCCTATGAATGAACGTGCTCACCAGGTGACATGGGCAGGTCTGGGTATATCTGTAACGTCCCCGTGTCTAATCTGTTTGCCCTAAAACATTCTCCACGGGGGACAAGAGCGGGGCTTGGTCTTACCTTGCTTGACGGTGGAGGACAAGCAGAGTTTTCCAGCTTTGATCTGTTCGATAGCCATCTGCAGGCCAGAGGACAGCAGCTCAGCCACCTTCAGATACAACACCAGCTGTTCTGCGTAGCTGAGGGGAAAGAACCAAAGTGTCAAGTGAACCCAAGTCAGATCCCGGGCTTGGGGGCTGGACAAGTGGCCCAGGAGAGAACAGCCTGCCCTTGGGTGTTCGGGTGGCCCTCAACTCAGCCCCCGTCTGCTCTGGTCTACATCCGCCAGGACCGCTGACCTCCACTCTCGGCTCAGCAGGCTGATCTGGTCGGCCACGATGCTCTCCTGCAGCTGGTACTCAGAAGCCACGGAGCTGCCCATCTCTCCCGTGCTGCCCTTGGCAGAGGCCATCTCCATGACACAGTGGACAAAGGCCAGCGTGAATCGAAGACTGCGCAGGATGTCTGTGTGCTCTTGCTGGAGGAAGAAAAGAGAGACTGGGCTTAGGAGTGGGGAGAGGAACCCAGGTATGCTGGCTGCAGGGCCCAGAAACACCTCCATCCAGTGCCCACCTTCCTCCTCTGCTTGCACCAGATCTGAAACACTATCCTGTTTCACAGGATACAGGGCTCCTTCCATAGCATCCATTCTGACTTACAACCCCATGAAAACCAAAGGGGGTTTGGCTTAAACACTGGCCCAGTCAGGAAACCAATGTAAAATTCTGAGCACTCCTATAGCTGCTCCCCTCCGTCTTCTGAAATTCCTTGCTTCCCTCAAGCCTAGGCTGAAGCATCACTTTCTTTCTTTTTTTAATAGTATTTTATTTTTTCCAATTACATGTAAAGAAAGTTTTCAACATGAACTTTTATAAGATTGAGTCCCAAACTTTTTTCCCCTTCCTCTTTCCTCTCTCCCCTTACCACTCCCTGAGATGGCGAGCAGTCTGATATAGGCTATACATGTACAATCATATTAAACATATTTCCATATTAGTCATGTTGTGAAAGAAGAATCAGAAAAGGGAAAAACCACAAGAAAGAAAATAGTATGAAGCAACTCTTTCTACATGAAATCTTTCCCAATTCTTCCCTCCCAAACTACTGTGTGTGTGTGTATTCTCATTCATTCTCCCCTCCCAAAAAGTCAGTTCTTTGAAGACAGGGTTCATTTTCATCCTTCTTACATGTATTTCCACGGACTAGCACAACCCCTGCACATAGCAGGTACTTAATACTTGATTCCTTTCTCTCCTTGGAGGTGGGTTGGGGCTAGGCAAGAAAAGCTGGAGAACAGAGAATGATTCTTTCAAGAGCAGAAACTTCCTGCCCCCTCACTTTGGGTCATCCAGAGGCCAATCAGACAACATTGAAGATTAGCCAGGCTTCTCCCTCCTGTTCTCTGCCTTTTAAATCTGGGAGACGAGAGTTAACAACGTCCTAACTCCCATTTCTACAGCCCTTTATGGCTTATAAAGCCTTTCTTCCCAGCAGCCTTAAAAAGCAGACGAGTGTGTTATCACCTTCACTTTTATCTATAGGGGAAACTGATGCTCAGGCTACGGGGTTGTCCTTCTAAAGTAAGCCAGGAAAGAACTATGGAGTTTGACTGCAGATCGAAGCATACTATTTGCTATTTTTTTCATTTGTTTTGTTTTGTTTCCTCTTTCTGGTGGTTCCTCCTATTGGTTCTAATTCTTCCTTACAACATCACTAATGTGAAAATATATTTAATAGGAATATATATGTATAGCCTATATCAGACTGTATGCCATCTTGGGGAGGGGGAGAAAAATTTAACACTTAAAAGCTTATGAAAGTGATTGTTGATAAATCAAAATAAATTGTAAAAAATTAAAAAAATAAAATAAAGCCAGGCTTTGGGGACAGGGGAAAAACTCGGTTTCAGGGCCAAAAGAACACAGGCAGAAGACACCAAAAGAAATTAGTGGCTACCCAAAATACGGCAATCTAACACTCACACACCTATGGGGATTGGCCACTACGGTCTACATGGCATTCCCTGATTGTTACTGGGGAAGGATGAGCTTGCGAAAGTCACTTGACCAAGGTTACATAGTAAATAACTGGGCTAGTCCCAAACAACTAGGGAAGGAAGCCTGGGAAGGTTGGAGGTGTCAACCACCCTTTCCCAAGGCCACAGAGGACATGCTGAATGTACCTGGTTCCATCACTAACCCTCCTCTCTAACCCTTGTTAATGAAGCAAGCAAGGTGCAGGGGGAGGAAATTTGGGCTCCTGGGGCTGGAGGACTCCTAGACTCATCCCAGACAAGTCTAGGAAGGCAGATCTTGCCTTCCCCTCACACTGGGAATTGCCCTTGGGCCCCTTCTCTCCCTCCCCTCCCCCCCAAATACAGGATTAGACAGATCAGGCAGGATGGATAAAAATACTCCCTCCCTCCCAGGAAGAAAGCGGCTGGACAGGGAAGATGAGAATTTCAGGCACAATCTAGCCAGAGAGCTTGTTCTAAATTAAGCCTTTTCCCTCCCCCTCCTCCCTTTCTTTCTTCAAGGTGACTCATTCTCCCCCCACCCACTCCCATGCAAGCTCTCAGGGTTAACCCATCCCTTGCTGCCTCACCTCCATGAGCGTCTCCTCAGGCAAGTCAGGGGCCTCAAAGGTCACGGCCCCCTCGAGGTTGGCAGTGATGGGATCGGTGAAGCCGTAGCAACGCAGATTGGCCGGGGCCTCCGCTGCCTCTCCTCCCATGCCAGGGATCAGATGGCGACCACTGAAGGAGCCGCCCGAGCTCTGGGAACTGGAAGAGCCCACTGGTGGAGAGAGGAGGGAGTCCCGGGTGAGGTCCCCAGAGATGCCCAATGGTACTCCTAAGCCCACCCTGCCAGGCACAGAGAATCTGGGTCATGGGACTGTCCTCCTAAAGCAAAGCTCTGGGGGCAGGGAAGGAGCTGAGCTGTGGGGCTGAAAGAAATTGGAGGCTAGCCAAAGTATGGGAATCCAATACACACCTGCAGGGGCTGGCCACCAAGTCTAATGAGCTGGGGAAGGATGGGGACCACAAATCTTGCTTGTGGAGTCTTTGGAGGCATCTTTCTTTACATGTATACCTACCCTCTCCCTACTACCCACAATGCCCCACAATGCCAGCCCGTTCCCCTGCCCAATGATTTTGTTAGCAGCTGAAGACGGCTTGGGGAAAAAATTATTGCCCTGTCTTGCCATGCAGGGAGATAGGGTGTCCAGAGCAGAAGTTTCCTTCTTGGGGAACACATGCCTTTAACTGCCCCTGCTCTGCCTCTCCCTATCCCTCTGTCGCAGTGAAGACTCCAGGTCCCCCAAGTTTCCCCAGGGAACTCCCCTAATATGTCCTACAACCCACTCCTGGCCATCCTACCAGGCTTCTGTCCCTTAGGGGAGATGTGGGAATGCATAGAAGCATGGGGCAGAGATCTCCCAAGTTCTCTGAGGACCTGCCCCAACCCTTCCCTTTTTATCTTCCTTGCCAAATGCCCTCTTATCTTTTCTCTTCTGGTCCTCCTTTCTTTCTCCCTCTTTCCTTCCTCCTCTTCATGCACCAGGGGGCTTGGGCCATGATACAGTATTTCACAATATTCCACATTCCCCAAACCATTGCCCCCTTTTTCCCTGGGTGAGATGGAGGGAGATGAGCTATAGGGTCCCAGCCTGCAGGGAGAGAACTCTGCCACTGCTTCAGGTACAGACTCATGCCTCACAATGGGCAGGGGCACAGGTTCCGCCTCGCCTGGCATGTCTGGGCATCAGCAAGGCAGGTAAAGAGATGCTACTTATTCTGTGGACTCACGGAGGGTATCTGCATGTGTGTGAAGGAGAGGCAGCCAGCAGGGACCTAGGAGAATAATACATTCCCGGAGGGGATATGGAGGTTAAGTCACGGAACTCAACGGGCATGAAAGAGAGGCAAGGGGGGGTGGAGAAGCCCTTTTTCCCAAGGCAGAGGTCAGGATCTGGAGCCTGCCGGCAGAGACACCAGGTGACTGTGCCAAAGTTCAGATCCACTCAGAACCAGCACCAGGCCCGGCGTGGATGCCGTTCCACTTCCACACCAATAATGTGTCGGGCATACTGCCTCGTGAAAGCCTGTCCCATAAGGAGCAGCTAATGATAATGGCCCAGTAGATAGAAAGCAGGGTTTCCAGTCAGGAAGACCTTCTGGGTTCAAGCCCATTTTTTCTTTTTAAAAAAGCACTTTAAGGTTGTTTCCCTCCCAAGTGCTTGAGATATGTGAATGCATTCATTCCTCATAACTCTGGGAGGTAGAGGCTGTTCCATATCTCCATTTTACATGTGAGGAAACTGAGGCAGACACGCAATCATAAATCTAGAGCTGAAAGGGACCTTAGAGGCTTTTTTAGTTCAAAATCCTCATTTTATACATAAGGAAACTGAGACTGAATTTGGAACCAGGCCTTCCTAAATCCAGGCCACTGCCTTCAGGTTCTTTAAAGAATCAGTCTATGAAAATAACCAGGGGTCATGGGGGGGGGTGCCCCTAACCTGTGATCCAAAACACCAATTTAGTTTTTAGTGGAAAAATGAGTGATTAGACAAGTTTCTGAACCAGCACTTAAAATGGGCCTTAACAACCTGTCACGGTCCTCCTCACCCTGATGAAGCCCCAAATTCAGTAAGAATCTACTAGGCTCTCTCGCATGGACCTTCCCCAAGGTTTCAAGGGCTTTCCTTATAGCCATGGTATTAAAGTTATATTATCCCCATGTTCAAACCTAGGTTTGATCAAGTAAGTGTAGACTGTCTCCATGTGATTGGGATGGCAGGGGGGAGGGCAGGGTTGAAGGAGGGGTAAAGGAATCTTCACCCCAACTCCCTTCTGTATACCCCTTGAATTTAGGGCCATGGTTAGCATACAGTAGGCACTTAATAAATGCTCATCAGTTGGTTCTAAGGAAAGCCAGCAGCTCCTGGGCTGGGTGTTTAGAGGCCTGGCTTCTCTCTTTGGAAATCTGATTTCCCCACTCAGGAAATGGACTCAATAGTCTTCTGTTCCCCATCCAACCTCCTAGACCAATCAAGATGTCACCTCAGGTTCTGAGAAATTCAGCCAGCCCCATTATTCCCTGTCACGTATCCTACGTGCCAACCAATGTGCTGCTGGCTATGTGACTGGGGCTCACCTCCCACCACCTCCCTCCCCTCTGCTTCCAGCTACAAAAGAGATAAAGCACTTAACATAGTGCTACTTTACATAGTCCTACTGCACACAGTAGGAGCTTAATAAATGCTTGTTTCCTCTCCTCCACATTCCAGCTCCCTCCAAGGCTGAGCTCAAGGCAAACTCCTGCAGGAAGCCTTTTCAAATGTTCATGCCTATGCTCATCTCCTTTACATGCTGTAAACCCCACAGAAGACTATAAACTCACTGAGGGCAGGGATTACTTCTCTGGTTTGTCTCTGTATCTAGCAGGACCAGATGTTCATACACTGAGAGCTTGAAGCAACCCTAATGTTTCAGATGAGGGCCCAAAAGGCCCACGGTTCGACCAAAGTCCCACTAGCCACAGAGGCAGGGACCCCAAACAAGCCCCAGAGGCGGGGACTGGGTCTACATCAGACTGAAGTGAGCCTAGGGGCCCAGGCTGGAGCATCCACAAGAGATAGCAGAGGTCATAGCAGCCCCAGAAGAACCCAAAGCCGGAGATACCAGAGAGGTGGGCTGCAGAGAGCACCCTTACCTGAGAACATCCGGGTCCGAGGGAGCTGGGGTGGGGTTGTGCCACTGGGAGGGGAGCCCACTGTGAATATGACAGGGGAGGGGCTGGAAGCGCCCCCGGCCCTCGCCCCTGGGAGCAGGTTCCCTCCATAGCCAGCAGAGGGAGCTGAGGCAGAGAGGACAAGTACAGGTGGGTATAGACCAGGTCCCAGAACAATGTCAACCACAGATATAATACCCCTCCCTCACCGAGGGTCTTCCTGAATAACTACAGCTAAAGTCTCTCTCCAGCAGGAACTAAATAAACTCTTCCTCAACTGACCCTCATCTCTTTCAAAACTCCACTCAGGACCCGCTTCCTCCAAGCTCACTGAGCTCCATCTCACTATCAGACATCTGCCTCAGTTTCCCTGGGGATCAGACTGAAAAGGAAAGTGAGGCCCACGCCACATGCCCAAGGTCACGGAGGTAGATCTGGAGCTGAATGGGACACCCCAGAAGCTTCCTGGTTCAAATCCCTCCTTCCACAGACGGAGAAACTGAGGCCAGTAAAGAGTAAGAGATGTGGCGCAGTTCACATATGTAACGTCAGACCGCGTCATCAGAAATCTACAGCTGAAAGGGGCATCAGAGGCTTCCCAGTTCAAACACCTCTCATTTTAGAGGGCAAGTGACTCGCCTGGTAATGTAGGCAACTCCAGACCTCATGCTCCTTCTATCAGACTTTGCTGCCTCTGGGGGTCCCCCCGGGACAACTGATTTTCATACAGTCTAGGCAGCCCCCGTTCAGCCCTCCTCACCGATCTCCATGGGCTTCTCCTGAAGGCTTTCATTGCTCCCTGTATCAGGGGCCTGGGACCCAAACGCAGCTTTGAGGAGCAGGTCAGTGAGACGGCCAGTGCTAAGGGACCTGTGGGGATAGGGATCCAAGGCTCAGAACTTGGCAGGAACAGCAACCCAGGGGGCAGAGAGCCAGGGACCATGCCAGGGGAGGATCAAGTTACTTCAGTCCCTCTAATATCACCCTAATATTCATCATGATACGGGCTAGCCCCGGTATTGGGACCTGGGGTCTCTAGCTTCAGGGCAGGGGACCCCAGCAGGTCCTGAGATCCACAGCAAGCTAGATTTCTCCACTGTCTCTTCTAACCTCTCCAGAGAGACCTAGTCTTGTTCTGCAACTGCCCCTGGCTCAGCCTTCCATAAGCCCCCTTCTCTACCAACTCAGAAATCAATTGTGTGTTTAAATGACCACTTTGTCTTATTTTACAAAGGAGGAAAGTGAGGCCTAGAATAGGGAAATCACACAGCCCATTAGTGGCAGAATCAAGGCTAGAATTCAGTCATGGGCTCTGACACACCAGGGCTGAGCAGCCAGTAAGTGGTAATGGCCTACTGGAAGCGGCTGGATAAGGGAAAAGTTAAATACACATATGTGGACAGATACGCATCCAAACAGGGAGGAGTTCAGAGGCAAGAGGTGAATTTATAATAGATACAGGAGTGCCAGCCCCTGTCCCAATCCCAGCCATGGGGCTACCAGGGCCTTCCCTAGCCAAGGGGTCTAGTTTCTCCCTTCCGCAGCTCCCCCACCTGCCAAAGGGTCCCTTGATCTCTTCCATGGGCCTCAAGCCCAGGCTGGGTGGGCTCTGGAAGTGGCCCATCTCTCGAAGGTCAGGCAGAGTCCTGTTCCGTGTTGGGGTCACCATTACCCCTTGATGGGCCAGGAGAGTAAGCAGGTTCTGAGAACTCGGTGTCTTGGGGAACTCAAAAGCAGGTACAGCCTAGATAGGCACATGGCAATGTTGAGACTGTGGGTCTTCTCATTCCTGTCTTCCAATTCACCGTCCCAACCATCACCGCCCTGGCACCCTGCAACCCCAGCCTCTACTTTGTCTCCCTCCACCCTGCCGCTAAGGGGCTTCCTGACCCTGTCACCCCAAGGATGGCAAACACCCAATTATATCCTCCCCTATTTACACCCCAAGTCCAAGATCCAGCCTCAGACTGCCCCCAAACATCCAGTTACCTTGGTTGGAGAGCCCATGATGGGGGGCAGGGGGTTCCGCTGCATGAAGTCAGGCAGCTTCGGGGATGCCCTGAGGGTCCGGCAGGGCTGCAGCCCATAATGCTGTTGGGGAGGACTAGCCTGGGGGTAAGCAAAGGGGGCCACCAGAGGGTCTGTGGGAGGCTTCGGCAGTTTGGGCCTCACCGCGTGCAGGTCAGAGAGGTTAGGGGCGCTGTGCAGACGGTAGCCCAGCCCCCTGGGAGAATGTTCTGGGAGGGAGGTGCCTGAGGGAGAGAAAAACATAGCTTCAGCCTCCTTCTGCAAGGAGGGACCGCTTCTCCAACAACCCTTCCCTAACTAAACTCATTTTAACTCCAATCTCTCCTTCATTCCTTGGTATGGCTGGGGAAGATCCCCACCCCACCACTGCAAAAGAATCCAGAATCCTAAGACCTGAGTTTGAGCACTACTTACTATCTATGAGACCCTGGGCCTCAGTTTCCCCATCTGCAAAAACGAGAAGGAAAGTTAACACCAACAAACAGCATGAGACCACGCCAGGTCAGACAGCTGGGCTAAAATACGAGAGCCAACTTCCCAAAGCACACAAAGGAGGGGGCGGAGCCAAGGGGCAGGGACTTGAAAAATGTTTAGGGGAAGCAAGAGAGCTGATGCAACCTTGGACTGCATCATCAGATGTGTCAAGCGATGAGGAAAGAGATTTGATAATAAATATTTTCCTTCTTCCATCTGTGCAAATGCATATTAAACACAAGTAAAGCCAAGCTGATGTTGTAATTTTTACATTGAAATAAAAGTCTTCACTCTACTCTCTAGGGATGCAGCCTGGTCCTTTGGGGCCTTCTTAAATCCCAGGCCTTTTAATGTTAAGTCCAAGACTAAGGTGGTCACTGTCCCATTGTACTGGTCTTAGGCAGGACATCTTTGGAGCAGCATGTACCCAGTTCTGGGTGCCACATTTTAGAAAGGATATTGACAACCTCAGGAGCAACTAGGCAGGCACCCAGAACACTGAGCATCCAGGTGGGCATCCAGGACCGTACGTTCCCTGTAAAGATGCACTGAAGGAACTAGAAATATTTTAGCCTGGAAGAGTTTCAGGAGAGAGATGGTGATAGTTTTTTTTGTTTTTTTTTTTGGTGAGGCAATTGGGGTTAAGTGACTCGCCCAGAGTCACACAGCTAGTGAGTGTTATGTGTCTGTGAGCTTTCTTTGTTTATGTGAAGACCTCAGACATCCCTTCCAGCAATGAGATCCCTGGTTAATAGCAGTCCTGCCTGTGAAGGCGTGATGAAACAGGAAAGAGATGGAAAGAGATCTTGGTTCTGGAGTAAGAGAACCTGGATTCAAATCCCATCCCTAATGCTCATCACCTGTGCCACCTTGGGCTGCTTGACCTCTTGGGTCTCGAATGTAAATCGAGAGGATGCCTTCCAAATCTAAAACTGTGGTCCTACTATGTGTAAAGCACTTTGTAAAGTGTCCGCTGTTAGACCAGGGGTTCTTAATCTGTCATCTGTGACCTCTTAAAAAATGCTTGGATAAAGAAATGGCAAACAGAATGATTTCAGAAAAACTTCACGTGAACTGATGCAGACAAGGGGGTTGAAGCAGAACAACCTTGTATATAGTAACAGCATTAATGAGTTACCTATTCTAGCAACACAATGATCAGGACTCACGATGAAAAATACTCTCAGCCTCCAGAGAAAGAACTGATGTCATCTGAATACAGACCGAAGCTTCTATTTTTTCACTTACTTTTTTTTTAGTTTTCTTGTACAAAATGACTAATATGGAAATGTTTTACATGCTTTACATGACTGCACATGTATAACCTACATCAGATTGCTTTCTCAGGAAGGGAAGATAGACTATGCCCCTAAAAACTTTAAAAGAATGCTAAAGATTGTTTTTACGTGTAATTGGAGGAAAAATAAAATATATAAAAAATAAATCATTAAATGTTTAATAAAAAAAAAAAACAACAACCGTGGATAACAGCATGTCTGGTTTCCTTTGCAATCCTCTTATTTTATGCATTTAAAACATTTAAAACCTTGGGAAGGGTGGGATCCCGAGGCTTTAGACGGACTGTCAGGGGAGTCCAGGACACAAACAAGGTTAAGAAACCCAGGATCACACACTAAGCTTCTTTGGAATTACAGTACTCTGCCCCAAGTAGCTATAAACTCCCCTCTCGGGCTATTGAGGCCTTATAGTGCCACTTCCCAAGGAGAGACTGGGGCCTTCCAATAGCGGCCTCTTTAAATGAGGGGCAATCCATAAGGAGGGTCCGCATCTCCCCACCCCAGAAGCAGGGGCTTCAGAGTCAACACACCCCCTTGAAACATACCAGGTCTGGAGACCCTGCTGCCACCGCTGCCAACTCCACACATCTCAGTGCCTTGTGGGGAGGGGACCCTGCTCGGGCCTGGACGCTCTGGGATGGCTCCAGCTGTTACAGTGATAAAAGAATCAGAGCCCTAGCAAGAGAGGGAAACTGAGACACCCCCAGCCTGACAGTCTCCTAGTCCTGGCAAACTCCTCAACCTCTAATGGGGCTTTTTAAAATCCACCAATGAGGTCTCAGAACCCCTGGGATCTGGGGCCAAGCCTCTCACTCAGGGCACAAACAGCTTCTGTCTATCCTGGAGCACACAGTTCTCCCCCTAGTCTCCACCAATCCAGGTGTCTTGTACTTGAAACTTGGTCCCACACTCCCCTTCTTTCAAGGGAATCCTTCTTGACTAAGCTCCATCCACCCAGATTACACCATCTACCACCCTTCCTTCCTCAGTCTCACATTATATATTCCCAACCAGGCTCTAAGGTCCAGAAAGGCAGGGACCATGTGCCACTGTATCAGAATGCCCAAGACAGGGCTCTATCCACAGGAAAAGACACACAGGCAGGTGGAGACAGCACTCACAGGGCTGGGAGCATCTAATCTATGAGGTCGAGCAGGGTCTAATGTTACAAGACAAAGGGGAAGGGAACTCACCTTGGGGAGATGGGTTATACGGCTTGGCACCTCCCAAAGACTTCCTGGGAAAGGTGGCTCCATGCTCAGGGAAAAATGGGGGGGAGATGCCAGTCTTAAAGCCCAGGGGGCTGGTACTGCTGGACCTCCGAACCATCCCGGACCTGAGGGGTGAGAGAGAGAGGCAGTGAGACCCTTGCCCTGCTGTGGACCCTGTTCATGCAACCTTGCCTCCAGCGTGGCATTTGAAAGACCAGGCCCTCAGGGGAAGAGGGAGAGAAGGTCGTGAGAGCCCAGGTTACTGAGGATCCCACAGCAAGGATCCCTCTAAGGCCCTAGTGAGCAGGGCTGGAGAAGGTCGAGTGAGCATGGAAACAACTGAGTATCTACAGAACCCCCAAATTTTCTGTTTCTCTAAGAAGCAGCCCCCACCAAGGAGGAGTTCAAACGTATTCCAGCTCCAGACAACACACATCTCAGAGCCAGCCAGCGTACGCTGGAGAATACTGAGCACATGAGACTGACCCCACCCACGTCAGGACCCTTCCAGCTTCCCACTGCAGACCTGGGGCTTAGCTCAAGGGCCATCCGGTCCCCCACGCCTCGGCTGATAAAGTCCTCCCTGACCTGACCCAATTATAGTTTGGGCTTACTTTATACGGCACAATGGAGCTGATAGTGGCCTTGAAGCCCGGATGCCTTGGATGACACATATGGGCTGTGTGAGCCTGAGCTAGTCCCTTAAACGCTCATCGTCCCAACTAAACTCTGACCTTCTACTGGAAGCATTTCCTAAGGTCCCTTTAATGCCAGTGCCTAGGCCTACTTATCTAGTAAGTAGCTGGTTTTGTATAGATTAGGTTCCAGTGGCTCCCTCATTAGACTGGAAGCTCCTTCAGGGCAGCTTTTATCTTCTACCTCTTTTAGTCTCCCCGTTAACTAGCCCAGAGCCAGACAGATGCTTAGTGAAAGTTGATCATTGATTAATGTTTCTTCCCAGGAGGATACAAACTCCTTAAGGGCAGGGTCTGCTTCATTTTTATCTTTCCCCAAGTGCCCAGCCCTGGATAAAGGATACTTACTGAATAAATGAAGTGAGCCTTTCTCCAGCCTCTAGGCTAGCCCACCCTAGGGGCTAAGACTTCAGAGAAAAAGCATTGTGATACAGTGGGGATAAAAGCAGGGGTTTGGGAGCCTGAGAGTGGGGGTTCACATCTTTGATTTGCCGATCACTGACCATGATGCTTACCAGCTAACCTAGGGTAAGTCACTTTGTGGCCCAGTTTTCCCATTTGTAAAATGGAGGTGAGAATGGACAAGAGGTCCCATTTTACCTCGATTTCCTCCTTGGTAAAAAGGGGGGTCCTTCCATCTCTAAATATGATCTTATGATCCCTTTGGCCTTTTCTCCCCAAAGAAGCTGCCCTACAGACTGGGGAGAAAGGCAGCTCAAAGAGGAAGTGGGGCAGTGGACCCAGGGGCCCCTCCACTCACCCGTGACTAAGTTCCCTACTTCATATTCATAACCCGCCTACCTCAGTTAAGGGACCGAGAAAAAACCAAAATCTGGCCCAGCTAATTGATGCGTGTGCACTACTTGCATCCTCATCCTCTTCTCAGCCACAAGACCCCAAACTTTCTTTAGCACAATGCCTGGCACACAGCAGGTGCTTAATAAATGCTTATTCCCTTCCATTCCCTTTTTTCTACCTAACTGCCTGGGATAATGCAGAAAGCCTCCTGGATTGTGTCAGGAGACCTATTCTCAAAAACCATGGTCCTGACCATCCCTTTCTCTGCTCTAAGCCTCAGTTCCCTGACCTATAAAATGGGTATAATAATCCTTGCCTTATTATCTACTGCACTACAGGGCTGTACTGAGGTTAGTCTCATCTTTGTCCCCCCGAGGTTCAGATAGAAATGGTCCTGGGAAAGGCTTCTTTCTCTCTCTCCTGTTGTCTTTTGAATTTAATGTTCAATGGATGATCATGACTATTATTCCAGTAATTAATAGATAGTACTAATCTCTGGCCTACAAAACCAGAGCTGGGAAGGCCCCAGGAAGCTCATCTCTGGCCCGGGCAGGAAGGCCAACACTCACCGTGGCGGTGGCGGAGTGTACTGGTTGGGGGACTGGAGGTTCTGTTCGATTCTCCTGTAGTTCTGGATCTGAGTGGGGACAGGGATGGGGACGGACGGGCCGTACCTGCTACTAGAGAAAGCACTGGGTCGGCTGGGGTAGCAGAGAAGGAAGGGCAAGAGAAGACAAAGGCTGTGAGACCGAGGTCGCCCTCTGCTCAAAGGCTGGAATGAGCGAGACCCCCTCTCCTACCCTACTCAGCCCCTCCGTGTTTAGAGTTTGGGCTCCTTTGGGAAATTCAACTACAGAGATTAATTCTCCAAGTCTCTTCAGACAGAGACATTCCCTCGAAAGGACCCCACATGTGACGCAGCAGTGGGCACAGCCTCCTTCCTCCTAAGGAAATGCCATTGGCTCCAACCCCAGCCCAGCCTCCAGCAGTCAAGCACCAGCTGGATCTCATCCTGGTCACACACATCTGGGATTTTCCACGGCCTGAGCCCTGGGGACTTTTTCCATAAACTGACCCCCATCCTGGGTTAGGGGAATTCCTGGCTCTGACATTGAGGTCACAGCAGCATCTAGGATGAATGAACCCCAGGCCCCAACCTCTACCCCAATTAGAGACATAAAGCCTGCTCTATTAGCCAAAGAGCTGGGGGCTTCCTTGGCTGTAGTGGCATGCACACTGGGCAGGGGGCTCTGGTGGAGACAGAGGAAGACATGATGGCAGCACGGCCATGGTGTGTCCCCAGATGAGAAGGTCTGTGAGAGGTGGCCCACGAGTTGGGCTACCTGAGGGCAGGAGGCTTTGATCTCCCACAGACCGGGGGGCGGGATTTCCTAGGATATTGGGTTTTATATCACTCTCTCCACCCCGAGCCACAGACAATCCCCTGGTCCCCTAATCATCACCAAGACCTGCTTACCCAGAGGGGCTGGGGGAACCACTGTAGGGGGGTGAGGGAGACGGTGTCCGTCCCTGGCTCTCCAGCCCAGCCGAAGTTACCAGGGAGCTCCTGGAAAGACAATAAGCCTTCAGTGGAGACACGCCAGGCTGTCAGACCCTCTCCTCTCAGCTTCCCAAGGACAGGCTGCAACTTGGCAATTGAGCTAAGATACACAGTATAGTGGCCGCCTTCCTGGGAGTGGGGAGACCTGGGTTGTAGTCTCCCCGTTTTGTTCCCCTCTCCTCTCTGTACTTCATTTAAAACCCCTCGCACCTTGTCACGAAGCACAAAGAAAGATGAAATGAAGAGCTTTCAAGGCATCCTAGAGGAGCAGTGGGGTGGGAGGCAGGAGGCAGATTTAGGCTTCCCAAAAAGGAAAGCTGTCCATGATCAGAAAGGGCAGGTTGGAGGGGCAGAGGGGGACCCCCTTGCTGAAGGGCTTCAAGCAGGGGTTAGACCCCCTGTAAATGGGGATGCTTGTTTAGGGCTGGGTTGGATTTGATGATCTCTGAGGTCCCTTCCAACTCTGAGGTATTAGTAGGGGTGGCAGGGGTGGGCCAGGGGTGTCAGGAGTGGGGAGGGGACCTTACCCACTGTACATCAGACTGTCCTGAGTGGCCTTGGCTCCAGCAGCTTCCCCTGTCAAGTCAGCTGAGATCAGGGAGAAAGAGATAACTTCATTCAGTGATACGAGGACCGAGGTGGCCCTCTGGCCTCCAGGCATCCTTCTCTACCTACACCCCCAATATACCCCACCACAGTAGCCTAAAATATAACCGGATTGAGATTCCTAAAGACCATCCTGACCCCTGCTGTCCGTCTGCTTGAGTCCTCTAAGCAACCCCTGCCTCCAGAAGTCCAACCTCCTTCGTGGGGCATTCAAGCCTACCCCAACCTCTGTGCCCCCCACGTCCCAACATACTTCACCCCTGCTGGTACCAACCCACATACACATACACACATCATTCACGGGGCACCAGGAGAAGTCCAAAAACCTGGGTTCCTATCTCAGTTCTGCTTCTGACTACACTAATCTCTCTGGGCCTCAGAGTCCTTATCTGTGAAATGAGGGGGTCGGGTCAGACGGTGCCTGGGGTGCCTTCCAGCTCTAGAGCACTAACTAGGCCCTCAAAGAACACTATGACTGTTCAGTGGGTAGAGCCTCCTGACCTAGGGTCAGAGTTCAAATTCAGCCTCGAACACCTTGTGACCCCGGGGGCTCTCTCGGCCTCAGCTTCCTCATCTGTAAAATGGAGATGATAATAAACCTTCCCTTCCCAGGGTTGTTGTGAGGATCAAAGGACATGACAGTTATAAAGCACCACAAAAATGCCTTTGTTGTGATTATTCCATGACTCAGTAGGCCCCACATGATTCAACCAGGCACCTTGGATTTGGGGGTCAAAAACATGGAATTTAGGATGGGACCACATGCCCTCTAAGGTCCCTCCCAGCTCTAAATTAATAATGTGATCCTATGATCTAGGTTTGGGCTCACACGGGCCTTTTGCTGTCAATCACACCCCCGGCCTGCATGGCTTGTCTGCCCTGTGTTGGAGGGAACGGTGCAAAGAATCAGGAGCCCATCGGTGAGTCCAAAGACTCTGAAAAGAAAGGCCAGGCCTTAGTTTTCCACCAGAACCTCAATTACCAAACAGCTTTCAGGCCACTGTAAAAGCCCGGGAGGGGCCAGCCAGGGCTTACTGTAACTGGTGACTCATCGTTGCTGCCCAATGCCCTTGTCTCTGACAGAGCCTGGGGCCTGGGCCAGCTCCATCCAAGCCCAGTTTACTGGCCAGCGGTTTCCAGGCTACTCAGGGCCACAAGAGGCAGGAAGAAACACATGAAAATAACGATGAGCCCTCTGAGGCAACGCTGGGGTCAAGAAAGGGGGAGAAACCACCAGGTCTCTGTGCAAGAACCCAAACGAAACCCAGCCCCAGGAGAGGTATCTGTTTAAACAGAAATCAACTCAATTTCCCCAAGAGGTTTGGGTCAGATTGTTTTGGACCCACAGGCTTGAAGTGCTCACTCACTGCCTGTGTGATCTGCAACAAGTCACTTTCCCCTCACTGGGCCTCAGCTTTCTCATCTGCAAAATGGAGAGGATTCCATTCTATGTTCCCATGTATCAAGAACCTGACTGGCAAATGCAGGAAGCTAGAACCTCTGCGCCCATCAGAGGCACGGACAGGGCACTGACAACCACACAGACAGTCACATGGCCTAGGGAAGGGCATCCAGGAACGTCCAGGGGACAGTTCTAGCAACTTCTCTCCATGGCCACCCCCACAGCCTTTCACAGGGGCTCTTACTTGGGAACTGGGCAGGGACCATGACGAAATCATCTGTGTCACAGGAAGAGTTCTTGCTGCTGCCACCTGAGTCCTTGGAACCCTGGAGGAAGCCTCCTGGATCTGGGGCTGGGGAGGTCAGCGTCTTCTGCAGCTGCTGCTGCATCTCTCCGAGGGACTGCTCCAAGCAAGAGGGAAGAGGGGAAAGCAGCGGGTGAGGAGGGGATGGGGAATGGAGGGAGGAAGGGAGAGGAGAGAGGGCAGGCTTGGAACACGTCCCCTCACCTCAACAAGCTTTCTGAAGCAGAGACTTACTCTACTCTCATCTGAGGGAATGAAAGCAGATGGGTGGCCCAGATGACATCATGAAGGTCACAGCTAGCTCTCTATCTAATAATTAATTTTGCCTGCGCATCCAAAGTACTGGGGCACCTTGGACAGGGGTCAGGAGACTTAAGGGTCATAGTCCCTGATCTGCCATGAATTCACTGTGTCAGCAGGCCAACGATGGCCGCCATCTGCAAAGTGAAGGGAGCTGGCCAGATCTCCCAAACCCTGCCCAGCACGAGGGAGGCCCAGGTTCTCCAAAAGGACGGGCTTCTGCAATAACCCTCCCCTCCTTTGGAGGATGGAGCAGCAGGCGTGGGCGAGCTTCAATAAGAGAAAACACCAGCCCCTTCACCTAGGACATCCATCCTCCCTTTGTCTCCCCTGGGCCCAGCACATGCTGGTGGACTGACTGATTCTGTCCAGGAGGATACTCACAGGAGGCGAGGCCAGGTGGGAGGTAGAGCTGCTGCTGGAAGAACTGCCTGAGCTGGGGTACGAGGGCATGGGCACTGGGGGAGCTGCAGAGAGAGAGCAGGCGTCACCACTGAGCTCACTCCCCAGCACCCTTGGCCCCAAGACCCTGGGACAGAGGGGGGATGGAGGGATGGCAGAGGGGGTCCCTTCACTCACATTTCTTGATGGAGGAGCTTGTATCCAAGAAAGGGTGATGGAAAAATTCATCTAAATGAGGAGAGAAAGCAGAGTTCAGGAAACAAGAAGGCCAAGGAAAGCCAGGCACAGGCAGGCCCCCACTGCACCTACATGCCCCAAGTCACATATTCGGCAAGAAGGAAGACCCAGAGGAGAACTCTGGACTTGAAATCAGGAAGACCGAGGTTCAAATCCTGCCTCAGCCACTTTACTAGTTCTTCGACTCTGGGTACGTCCCATAAGGCTCAGTTTGCTCATCTGAAAAAAATGAGGGGGCTGGACTCAACGGCCGTATAATTTTTTTCAGACCTCACGGGGTTCTTAATGGAGCAGGGTGGGGTGTAGGTGTGGGTGTGGAAGTTTCACCCACCCAGAAGAATGTTCCCACAGACTGTGTTTGCAGAGGCCAGAACTAGGGACAAAGCGGGCAGCCAGCGATGCCCACAAATGTGAGTATTACTGTAGCAGGAGCTGTGAAGCAAGGAGCTCCAGGGACACTTACAGGAACTGATGCAGAGAGAAAGAAGCAGAGTCAGTGACCAGCAAAGTAAATGAAAGAGGGTGAAAAGTCTAGTTTAGGTCACAGCTCACAACACTCTAGGGCTTTAAGGATCTTTTTTTTGGGGGGGGGGCTTTGTTTTTTAAATAAAATATTTATTTTAGGATCCTTTCTAAAAATTTTGAGTTCTGAGTTCTCTCCCCTCCTGCCTACCTCTCTCCCACCTACTGAGAAGGCAAGAAACGTAATATCAATCATTACTGGAAATCAGGCAAAACGTATTTCCATATCAGCCATATTGCAGACACAGCAAGAAACAAAATTTAAAAAGTATGCTTCAGTTTTCACTCAGACACCCATCAGTCCTTGCTCTGGAGGTGAAGAGCATTTTCCATCCTAAATCTTTCTGAAGTATCTGGGATTGATGTGCTGATCAGAATACAAAGACTTTAAGGATTATAAAAAGTGCACAACTATTCTACCCATTTTACAGATGAGGTAACTGGTTTATTTTCTCCGTATCACACACAGTGGAGTCAGGTATTACGAGGATGGCACACTGGACTTCAGAGTCAGGAAGGCCTGTGTGTGTGAATCCTTCCTTCCTCGGACACATGTGTTAACTCTATGACTCCTTGTCTGCCTCAGCACCCTCATCTGCAAAATGGGAGATTAATTCCTACAGAACTTAGAGGGGTTGTTGTGAGGTTCAAAGGAGCATTTACAAACCCATAGATGTCAAGTTAATAAACAAATTAAAAGAACCTTAGGCTGACCACAAAACTGCCTCCCACTCCAGCACGCCATGGGGCAGAGCTAAGAGAAAGTCCTCCACAACTGAAGCAAGTGCACAATCCCTCCCTTTGTCTTCTGCCTGCAACACAGCTCAGTGGTGCAGTGTAGAGAGTCCTGGTCTTGGAATTGGGAAGACCGGAGTTCAAATCCAGCTGTAGACATGACCTCGTGGTATGACCCTGGGTAAGTCAATTGCTATGTGCCTCAGTTTCCTGATCTGTAAAATGGGAATAATAAAATCACCTATCTTCCAGGGTTGTTTTGAGGATAAAATTAGCTATGTGTGAATATGAGGCAGTTAGGTGGCAGCACAGTGAACAGAATGCTGGGCCCAGAGTCAGAAAGACCTGAGTTCAAATTCAGCCTTAGGCGCTTAAGAGATGGGTGATCCTGGACAAGTCACTTCATCTGTTTGCCTCAGTTTTCTCATCTGTAAAATGGGGATAATAACAGCACCTACCTCCCAGGGTTGCTGTAAGGACCAAATGAGTTCATTGTAAAGCGTTCAGCATATCGCCTGGCACATAGTATTATATAAATGTTAGCTGTGATGACAATGATGATAGAGTGCTTTGGAAACCTCAAAGCACCATAAACATCACCACTATCATCATTTCATTTTCATCTTTGTGCCCTTATCACCTGCAGAGGGCGAGTACTTAATAAAATAAAATAAAGAGATTGAACCGAATGACCTCTAATTATAAATCTACCAACCCGTTCCAGGAATTAAGGGCTTGTCCAGAGCCCCCAATAAATCCAAGACTGTACCAAGTGCCTAGGACAATGCAATACTCTCTAGCCTGGAAATCAAGTTCTCCCTCCCTCATCTGGTGCCCCATCCCACCTACAAAAACAGAAAGGACAAAGTCCTGGGGAATAAATCATCTATGGGTCCCGTGTGCCAGTGAGAAGCAAGGTGTGCTGGGGGCGAAGTTTCGTGTGTGTGTGTGTGTGTGTGTGTGTGTGTGTGAAAAACCTGTACAGAGCATCCTTTATGTTCTAGCCCGTAAGTATGTAATTGGAAGCATTTCCACAACACCTTCGCCCCACCAATTGGGAAATCAGTGTACAAGAAGGAGAATAAACAGACTGAGGCCCTGTTAGCCTCTTTTCCCAAAACCTGGGGCTGCTTTGCCACTTACCAAAGTCCATCCGATCTTTATGGTTCCGCTGAAGAAGGCCCAGAAGCAGCTGTCTCAGGGGGCTGGATGTCTCCCTGGGGATGCTGGATGTACAGAGAAACAAAAATGTCAACTCAAAAAAAAAGTATAAATATATAAAATGTATATGTGTGTGTGTGTGTGTATATGTACATATATGTGTGCGTGTATGTATACACATATGAGAGAGCTATCAGTTGTTTCAGTCACGTCTGACTCATGATTCCATTTGGGGTTTTCTTGGTACCAATGTGGTTTGCCATTTCCTTCTCCAGCTCATTTTACAGATGAGGGAACTAAGGCAAACAAGGTGAAATGACATGTCCAGGGTCACACAGGTAGGTAAGTGTTTGAGGCCAGATTTGAACTCAGGAAGATGAGTCTTCCTGACTCCAAGCCCAGTGTTCTATTCACTGGACCACCTAGCTGCCCCAAATTGCTAGCTATAGATCTCTATATATTTACAACTTATAGCTATATTTATCTGTATCTATATCTACCTATCTATGACACTTTAACGTAGGTTAAATGCTTAACAGTAACCCCAAGGAATAGGGGCTATTATTATCACTCCCATTTTACAGAATGAGAAACTGAGTGACGGTCAAAGAAGTCACATGACTTGCCCACACTCAATCTCTGAACCCAGGTCTCCTTGATTCACAGGCCAAGAACTCTCTGAACGAGGCCAATGGTGTCAAACTAATAGAAAGAGGAGCCATGAATCCATACCAAAGGATCCCCGTAGGCTCCATACTGATTGAAAAAACCACATCTATGTTAACATCTATGTATTTTCATCTGCTCTGTTAAACATTTACCAACTGCATTTTAACCTGGCCTGGGCTACATGAAGACACGTGTTGGACGCCTCTGCCCCCAGCCACGTTGGTCAACCTGCAAAGGCTGGAGCGAGCACGATGCCAGGGAACACAGAGTACCAATACTGGAAACTTGGCTCTGCCCTGGATGTTTACAGAGTGCAGGGCATGGAGACAAGGGGGATTTGGGTTCAAATCCCATCATGGACACTCAGTCCACACAGAACCTTGAACAAGTCACAAAAACCTCTCTCCAGGACTCAGTTTAAAATGAAAGCTGGGAACTCAAGGGCCTTTAATCCAGGATCTGAGTGACCTTTCTACACCTCAGCGTCCTCTCCTACACTTTGTAAAACGAAGGCATTGGATCAGATCATGGGGAAGGTGATTTTAGGGCCGAGCTACCAAGGGAAACTCTCACCTGGGCAACAGCGTCTTATTCTTCTCATAGAACAGTCGTAGATCCTGTGGACTGCTGGCCTGGGAGAGGGAAAAACAACAGATAATATTAACAACTGGCACATGTGGCAGATTTCCAAAGGGCTGTATCTGAGGTCATTTGCACCAGGTTGTAGCTGTCTCCACCCACTCCCCACCTGGACCAGCACTCTCAAATGGAATGGGCTGACTTAGGATGTGGCGGTTCCTTATCAGGGTCTGGAAGGCTGGAGCAGAACATGCAGAGTGTTCATCTGCTGGCTCAGTTCTGAGCTGCCCCTCATGACTACTAATGGGGTCCACTAGGTCCTTCTTCCCTCCACAGCAGAGATGAAGTGCTTAGAAACTGAGGGTGGCCTTTAACACCCCAAGATTTTTTGCCTGATGGGACCAGAAACATCCAGAAAGTTGACCAAAAAAAGGAAAATGGGGGCAGCTAGGTGGCACAGTGGATAGAGCTCTGGCCTTGGAGTCAGGAGGACCTGAGTTCAAATTCGACCTCATTGACACTAGCTGTGTAACCTTGGGCAAGTCACTTAACCCCAACTGCCTAACCAAAAAAAAGAAAGATAAAGAAAAAAAAAAAAGGAAAATGACATGCTGGTGGGGTTATGTGAAAACAGGCACGCTGCTGGTGTGGGACTGGATACCTAGGCATGAGACTATACCATTAAAGTCTAAGTTGGTGCTGTAAATATAACAGATCATAAACCTAATGAGTCTTTCCAAATGATAGCATACACATTTAACAAGGCTATAAAATAAAAACTAAACTCCCATTAAAAACGAAACAAAACAAAACCCAGACTGCTGGTGGAGCCGTGAATTGGTCCAGCACAATTTGGAAATCATGCTCCCTAACTTCCTACAGTGTGCATGTGCATACCCCCTGACCCAGCTCTACCACTGCTAGGCCTAGATCCCAAAGACATCAAAGAAGAAAAGGACCCCCATACATACAACAATATTTACAGTACTTTTTGTGGTAGCAAAGAACTGGAAACTAAGGGCCTGCTCATCAATTGGAGAAAAGTTAAGTTATGGTATGTAAATATGATAAAGAGGGACTGTTTTCAAAGACAACGTGAAAAGGGGAGGGGGTAGCTAGGTGGTGCAGTGGATAGAGCACCAGCCTTGAAGTCAGGAGGACTTGAGCTCAAATCTGGCCTCAGACCAAACACTTGTCACTAACTAGCTGTGTGACCCTGGGCAAGTCACTTAACCCCAATTGCCAAAAAAAAACAAAAAACAAAAAACAAAAAAAAGAAAAAAAAACAAAAACATGAAAGGGACAGTTCAAGAGAAACTTAAGAGAGGCTTTCATGGAATTGACCCAGTGTGAAGTAAGCAGAACCAGGAGAATAATTTACAAAGTCACATCACCATCGTAAAGACAAATAACTCATCGATAGCAATGACAGACCACGTCAGAGTACTCATGATTTCATGCTACCCATCTCCTGATAGAGGTGACGGCCTCAGGGTCAAGAATGAGATAGGACTTTTGGACGGGAGTTTATTTTACGTGACTATGATGAGTATTTGCTACAAGAGTTTTTTTTTTTTACCTCTAACTGGGAAGGGAAGGGGCAAAATAGAGGGCAAGAAAAAAAGTAGGTTTTTATTTATTAAAAAAAACATACATAAAAAAGGATGACCCAGCCAAGGGATTTCCCTTTTCCTGTTCAGAGCAGCTCAAGGTCCCTAAAAGGGCTTCCTCCCCTAAGCACTCACCTGGAAGGGAGCCTTGCCTGTCAGACACTGGTAGATGATTGTCCCTATACTCCACAGATCAGCTTTGGCATCATAGTGTTGGGACATGATGACTTCGGGGGCCTGTGGGAACACAAGGTATTTCTTAGTGAGTCAACGAGCATGGTATAAGTGCCAACTATGTGCCAGGCTGTGCATTGTGCCACGTGCTGCTGAGAGAAAGAAAGGGGAAAACCCACAGTCCTCACCCTCAAGGTCCTGAGGTTCTGATGAATGGTGGGGGTGGGGAGGCAACACATAAATAGTGACAGAGGATACCTCCAGGGAACACTTCCAAGTTCTGTAAATGACAGGATAGCTTCTTCCCAGGGGGACCAGCTGAAGACTGATTCCGGCCCTCAAGAAAGTCCGTGACCCCACAGAACTTGGCCCCTCCCTAACGCCTGTCCTTGGATTTGCAGGAGCATAAAAAGATGAAGGTGGGGGGGTGTCACTGCTAGGAACATCTCCGGTGCCTGGCACATAGAGTCGATATTCGTGAATATGTGTGATTTTTCTCAGAACAGCAACTCTCAGTGTGGGATCTCCCTTCACCAAGCCAGGTCCTAGCCTCTCTGGATCTCAGAGAGACCAGAAACACAGACTGAGAGCTGCAAGAGACCCTCAGAGGTCACCTAGCCCAACCCCCTTCATTTTACAAATGAGAAAGAGGAGATTTTCTTTAAGGTCATACAGGTAGTGTATAGAATAAAAAGATCCAAGTTCAAATCAGGCCTTAAGACACATAGGAGCTGTGTGACCCTGAGCAAGTCACTTAACCTCTGCCTTAGTTTCCTCACCTGTAAAATGGGGATGATAATAATAGCACCTACCTCCCAGGACTGTTGTGAAGGCCAAAGAGATAATATTTACAAAACACTTAGCACGGTGCCTGGCACACAGAAGGCGCTATATAAATGTTAGCTATTATTATTATCATTATTGTTGTTGTTATTGTTATTATCACCACCAGTACCACCACCACCATGATGCTGATGACATAGCCAGGTTCTAAATCCTGTTTCTCAACTCAAAATCTAGTGGTTCTTACTACTACTGCACCATACCTTCTCCCATATGAACTGAGTTTGGGCTAAGTTGGGGTCAGTTACAGAGATGTTCTGGGCTCTCGGCCCTGAAAGACACATGAAATCCCAAGCCCCAAGGATGTAATGATCATTAGGATGGATGGACAGTCAAGAGCCTACGTGATCAAGCATTTCTAATGATTTTTTCTAGATTAAAGGGACCTTTCAGGTAAAAGAAGCAAAGAGAATGGTGGCCCATGCCCTGGAGAAGTAGAAACAGGCCTCCTCAGTCTGTGAGCTGGACCAGAGTCTCCTTCCATAGTCAAGGAGGTGAAAGACGAAGAGGGGAAAGGGAAGGCTGAGAAACACTATCAAATGGAGACTTTCTGGGCAAGGTGGCTGCCTGAAAGTAGGCAGGAAAACCAGCTACCCACCACAGACAAGAGCAAAACCATCCACATCCTAAACAGGCCAATTAATGATTGAGAAACCCAAACTGAAAGTATAGAGCCTTCTTCCACCCCAGAACACCACAAAGTCAACCAGAAACCCGAGGCTTCTGTAGCAGAGGGGGTTTTTGATGGCAAAGGCAGCACCATACTGAGACAAAAAAACCAGCAGCCTCTCAAAGCTTGTAGGACTCAGTGTCTGAAGAAAGGAAGAGCTGAGTGTTTCCTGACAAAAACTTGGGGTGGGTGGAAAACCACAGCATAGGATCTGGAAACCCCCCAGAGGGGCAGCAAGCAGGTCTCTGAACAGCAAAGAACCAGACGTTGGAGTCTGTGTTGGAATGGGGGATGGGGGGCAAGAGATAACAGCCCTGAGACATGCGACTCAGTGCAGGGATCCTGGGGATCCAGGTCAAGCCTGACCACCCCAAAACCAGAGCAGGAGATGGAGCCTGGCCGAGCACAAAGCCCCAGTTCAAGAACTGAGGCTGGAAAGTGAACCATAGAACCCTGACCACTACTGTCCAGGGACACCTCAAAATTCAACCTGGAGAGTAATCCCATGACAACCACAGGCAGAGACTCAAAGGAAAACATGGATTTTCCACAAGGTCACAAAAGCAAAGAAATGAAGTGAGAAAAAAAAAAAAAACAATAAAAACACTGGAGGAAAGATATGGAAGGAGAATTAAGTAGTAAACCTTACCCAAAACCGGAATCCCTGAAAACTAAAAGACTCATCAGTAACCAATGGCTCCATGAGTCAGCAAGAAGTCTTAGACAAAACTGAAGAAAATGTAGCATATTGGACAGACATCAAAAACAACTGACCTAGAAAATAGGTCAAGGAGAAATAATTTTATCATTGAAATTATGATTTAAATTATGATTAAAAAAAAAAAAAGCCCAGACACACTATTTCAAGAAATCATTAATTAAAACTGTCCAAATATATTAGAACCAGAGGACAAATAAAGATAGGAAAAAAATTTGCGAATCACCTGCTGAAACACCAAAAGGATAAGTCCCGGGAATGTCATAGCCAAAATCCAGAATTTCCAAAATACTATAAGCAACCAGAAAGGAGTTCAACCAGAAGGGAATCAGTCAAAATCATATAAGACTTGGCAGCTTCTACTTAATCTGAGAGGAGAGCTTGGAAGACAAAAAGATTATATATAAAAATCTGTATCTCTCACTCTTCATATACATACAGAGACAGCAAGCGAGTAGGCAAGAGGGAGACCAAGAAAGAAAGAGACTTCTCTTTCCCTCCCCCTCCTTCCCTTCCCTCTCTCTCTCTGTATGTATGCATGTGTGTGTATGTATGCATGTATGTGTGTGTATGTATGTATACACAAAAAGATATCTATTTCTATATCTAAATCTATAGATATATAGAGAGGGAGTGGGGGGGGGGAGCTTGCAAACAAGAATTCACCTGCAAAGCTAAGTATAATACTAAAGGAGAAAAAAAATGGAATAGGATTTTTAATGGAATAGGATTATTAATCATTCTTGATGAAAAGACAATAGCTAAGTAGGAACTCTGAAATGGAAGCACAATACTCTGCAGAAATCTAGAAAGATAAACATATCTGAGCAACACAGGAAGGGGCTGTTTGATAATAAAGTACTAACATTCTAATGGGGGAAAATACACAAGTGCCCTTTCATAACCTTAATGTCTTCCAAGGGTATTAAGAAAGTTAAATGGTTTAAAAGGGCAAACAAACTTCTTGACCCAGAAAAGAGAATTAAAAAGAAAAGGAAAAAACAAAAAGCTAAGAACTGGAAATCAAAGAGGTGCCCATCAATCAGGGACTGGCTGGAAGAAACTTTGGTATGTGAATTTAATGGATTATTTAGGTCACAAAGAAATGACCAGAGGGAAGCTTTCAGAGAATCCTAGGAAATGAGAATAAGAAATGGAATTTAGAAGAACGTGAAGATCAATACTGTGACAACACTGTAAAGAAAAACAACTCTGAAAGACCTGTGAACTCTGATCAAAACCATGACCATCACCATAAAACCTAAAATGAAGCTTGTTACCTACTTCCCCACAGACAGAATGAGACTTTTCTCACATGGCCACGGAATGGATGTTTTGCTTGAGTATGATTATGTTACAAGCTTCCCCCCCCCAACCCCCTTCTTAATGGTGGGAATGGGGGAAGGCAATAGTATTGATACTGTGACTTTTTTTTTTAGATAACTGATAAACTGCCTAAGGATTAAGCTTCCATCCCAATGGAGGAACAGATCTATCTGGCCTTCTGATGCGGTGAGTCTGGCTCCTGGTATATCAGCGTGAATTGGTAGTGGTCAAGAACAGGCCTCACAAGAAAAAACAACCATGAAGAATCCTAAGGAACTCGGGGCGGGGGGGGGGGTAGTTTTAAGAAACAGAAGAACAATTTACATGATGACTGCCATGATACAGAGAGCAATCATGACTTCACAAGATTGTTGGCTAAGTATGCTTCATGGCAGAGAAGTCAAAGAGATGACTCTTGTGTGTGTGTTGACTGTCTCACTGAGTACATCCTTTCAACTCAATGCCCAACTCCTGTACAAGGCCATTCTGAGTCCCTCACAGCTGCAAATCAAAATGACCTTCTGTATCTCTTACATGAAGACACGTTCTACTATGTCCCTGCCACCCCTCTCTCTCCCAACCCACTGATAGAGTGTAAGTTATGTATCTCCCAGCATCGAAGACAATGCCAACTACCTTGTGGGCGTGATAGTGACTGATAGTGGGCTCTCCCTAATTAATGCCTGCTGACTGAAGGGAGGGTTCTATTGGGGTGAGGAGGAAGTCATTGGAAAAAGAATGATTGAAAAAAAATCTGTAATACATTAAATACATTAATACATTAAAGGGGAGAAAATGGTTAAAAGAAAGGGTATATCCTGCCATGGGTATGACACTGGGATAAGAAGTTTGAGAGGCCCTCTGGGTCAGCTTTCCACAGCTGAGCCAGAAACCCTCCTCCTTGTGCCCACCCCAGCTCTGCCTCCTAAGCCATTCAAAACCAAGCGGCTCCAATGAAAGAAGGACGGACCCTGGTCTGAAGAACCTAGAACCTGGCAATTCTTAAAGAGGAATGTCTGAGATTGTGTATGTGCACAGATATAGATAGGGGCAGGAAGAAGGGTCACAAGATGAGCCCTGGGTGTGGCACACGTGCATGTATGTGTGCATGGGATAAGCAAGGACAGGGTGCACTGTGGACATGAGAGAATTTGTCCAGAAGTGCACATATATACAAGCACATGTGTAAGGATGGTGTTTCTGTATACACACACACAGAACTCCATCTATTATATAGGTACATACATATGTGTGAAGGCAGTGTTTACCATTAACATGGGTGAATCCCTACATGGTACGTCCTTCCTGCCCACATATATGCCCATGCATATGTAAGCAAGCATGTATGTGGCAGGGTGGAAGGGAAAGGGAAAACAGGGACACCGCTCACCATGTACATAGGAGAACCGCAGAGTGTGGCCGCCATCATGTTGTTCTGTAGGTAACGGGCAAATCCAAAATCAGCTACAACAAAGAGATAAAAATGAATTCAGAGCTGATCCTGCAAAGGCCCTGCTTGCTTGGGCTGCCCAGCAATGCCCCAACTACCTTTGTCCTAAGACACTGAAAATTGTAATACTGACTAGGGGTCCAACTCCTGATATAGGCTCTCTATATATACCTGATATATACCTCCACAGACATACAAAGACCTCTGGAAGCCAAGGAGTTAATAGCCTCCCCTACCCCTCTCCTATTCCTCTTTCTCTCCCTACTCCTCCTGCCCCCATCCCTCCTGTTTCTCTCTCTCTCTCTCTCCCCCTCTCCCTTTCCCATTTTCTCTCCCCCTCTCTCTGTCTCTCTCTCCTCCCATTCCCATCTCTCTCTGCCAGGAGGGAGTCGTGGACACAGCTCCATCACAAGGATGCTGGGCCTCAGTATCTATCCCTCATTCTTAGCTACATGTGGGCAGGGACAGCTGGTCACGCGCTGGGAAAAATAGGGATATACAAGTGCTTCTTTGTCCCAAGTTGTTCCCAACAGAGCACAAACTTCTTGAGGGCAGGGACTGCTTTTTTGTCTTTCGGGGTCTGGCACAATGCCAGGCACAGCAACTTAAATAAGATGCTGAAAATTCTCCTCTCCCAGTTTACTTTGGGTCAACTCAGCCCCAAAGGAGCTGCTCCAAGTAAGATGCAGAGCTGGGCCGTGAATCTGGGTGTCACAGCCTTCTATAACCCTCCCTCCCTTCCCCAGCTAGGTGGCGGAGTGGATAGAATGTTAGACCTGCTGTCAGGAAGACCTGAGTTCAAGTCCAGACTCAAGTTTTTTACTAACTCCGTGATCCTGGGCAAGTCACTTAAACCTCTATTTGCCTCAGTTTCCTCAACTATAAAATGGGGATAATAGCATAACCTTCACCAGAGAGGGGTTGTTGTGAGATTCAAATGAGAGAATATTTGCAAAGTGCCTAGAACATAGTAGGCGCTTAATAAATGTTTATTTTCTTCCCTTCCCATCACCAATGCTATAGTTATCCCACAACATGAAGGCCAGAAGAAATGTACTGACTTCAATAGCAAGAAATTCTTAGTTTGGACCCAAGAGGGCTTCCTGACTCAGGGGGGCTGTTTGAATGGGAGCCAGTTACCACTCAGGGGACCTTGCTTGGATCTCCTCCCTTTTTCAGGTCTCAGTCTCCTCCTCTGCAAAGAAAATTGGAGAAGACCATTTTCTAAGGACCCTTCCAGCTTAAATTCTAAGATAGCTGTTTGGAGATAAGAGGCATGGACCAGGGAATTCTCCCAGCAGGGGCCTGTTCCTCGTGGGTCCCTGAACTCTCACCAGCCCCTGAATGACTAGGGCAAAGCAACCTGTGCATTCACGAGCCCCCATATCTCCCAGTCATAAAAGCCTGGCTCACACCTGAGCAACGCCTCAGACGACCCCATCTGCACTCATTAAGCAAGCTAACTCATTAAACAAACCTGTGGGGAGACAGAGCCAGAAATCAACTCTGCTCCTGGCTCAGTTACCCATTAACCTGTGTTGCCCCAGACAGAGAGAGGGAAATTGGGGACAAGAAGACTCTGGGGCCCCGGCATCCACCCTGCCTGGCCTTAGCTCCACGAAGAAGCTGAAAAAAACTATGGCTCAGTAGTGTCCCTCACTATGAGGCCCTACGCCCAGGGGTGTCTCCCAGGGAGTACATGTGGTAGCCTTGGAGTCACAGGATCTGGGTTCCAATACTGCCTTAGATACCAAGTAGGACAAGTCATGTGACTCCCTGGGCCTCAGTTTCCCTCTCTAAAATCAGAGGGCTGGACTAGATGACTTCTCCAGATCTATGATCCCAGGAAAATCAGGCTTTGGGATCAGCAACCATAAATTTTAGATCCCATTTTTACAGATCAGGAAACTGAGGCCCAAAGATTCAGTGACTTACCCAAGATCACACAGAGTAGGAATTGAACCCAGGTCCTCTGATTCTAAATCCAAATCTTTGGACTAGAGACTCCATCCTTCTCAACCTTTCCAAGGCTGCCTAGATAATTAATTCATGCTTTTAGAGATCAGGTTAAGGTTTGGACCTCAGTTACCCCAGTGTTGGGACTTTTCTATCTTCTCCCTCTCTCGCCTTGGAAGACATGCCCCCCCCAAAAATATCCATGATAATAACTGACTTTTTAACAGTGATTAGGAAAGCGTACCAGATGTGGAATCAGAGGTTTTGTTGTTGTTTGGTTGGTTCAATCATATCTGACTCTCTATGACCCCATTTGGGGTTTTCTTGGCCAAGATCCTGGAGGAGCTTACCATTTCTTTCTCCAGCTCATTTTACAGATGAGGAAACTGAGGCAAACAAGGTTAAGCGACCTGCCCAGAGTCACACAGCTAGTAAGAGTCTGAAGCCGGATCTGAACCCAGGCCTAGCCCTTTATCCACTGCACCCACCCAGCTGATCATCATGTTTACTATCCCCACTTGAAACTGAGGCTAAAGAGATCAAATGACTTGCTCAGATGACAGGCCCCTGAGGCAGGATCTGAACCTGGAATTCCCTAATTTCAAGGTTAATGCTCAATCCTTAATTTTGCAGGCTGCCTCTATCTTATAAATATGGGCCCAGGTTTGGAGGGGGAGGGGAAGGAGATTCCCCTCAAGGGACCACTCCCCTCTAGGGAAACTGACAAGTCAATCCTGCTTTTAGCACCTTCTTTAAATGGAAATGGAAAACAGCTACCACAGATCAAATCGAGAAAATGGGCGTTGTGAAACTGGCCCCAAAGAACAGAAAGAAGAAAAGAGAGAGAAATGGCGCCCCCCAACCCTTCCCAGAGGTGGAGGATGGGCCACGGGCATGCAGCACTGCAGAGAACAGAGATTTGTTTCGATGTATTTATCACATTGTGGAATTACTTTCTCTTTTTTGCTTAAAAAAATCCTCTAATAATACTAACAATAATTATAATTATAAATTATACAAATAACACACATACAGAGCACTTTAAGGTGTGCAAAGTGCTTTACAAATATTGTCTCATTTTACCCTAACAATTCTGAGAGGTAGGTGCTACTCTTATCTCCATTTTACAGCTGAGGAAACTGGGGCAGACAGTGGTGAAATGGCTTGCCCAGGGTCACACAGCAAGTTATTGTCTGAGGTTGGATTTGAACTCAGGTCTCCTTGACTCCAGGTCCAGGCGCTTTATCCACTGCGTCACCTCGCTGCCTGTAGTGGGTGCTTTAATAAATGCTTGTTGACTGGACAAGAGGCAAGTTTAGGCAACGTAAAACCAAACTATATAAACAAGACTCTTCTCTCTTCTTTTTTTAAAAGGAAAAGCAGGGCGCTTGTCACTGGAGCAGACAGTGAGCTCCCAAATGGCACCCGCAGGCCCTGCTTGTGTCCTAGGACAGAACCGTCACCTCCGAGCCAGGGCCAGTCACACAGGCCAGCCCACAGGGACTCACCAATCTTCACTCGGATGTTGTTGGGGTTGGACTTTCGGCCCCCAGAGTAGGACAAGAGGATATTCTGGGGCTTCAGGTCCCGGTGGATAATACCCTTGCTGTGTAGCATCTTCATGGCGCCTGCAATCTGCTGGAGGAAGAGCCGGATGGTGTCCTCACTCAGGGTCCGCATGGCTGCGAGAAAGAGGAGAGAAAGGAAAAAAAAAATTCAATCAACCACCAATGGCTGTAAAGTGCCTACCATGGTCCCGCTTGTTTCTGGGGCTCACCTGTCATGAAACATCCCCCCTCCCCAAAGGAGTAAGCCCATGAAAGAGCCCCCACCTCCTGAGATCAAACAATTCTGCAACCTCCCTCCCCCCATTTAGAAGTTCTTTATACTTCCCAAAGCCCCTCTTTCCTACCACCATCCATTATCACTATCCCCATTTTAGAGAGGAGACTGAGACCCAAAGAAGAAAAGGCACATCATGTGTGTAGGCTCACAGGGTGAACGTACAAAACTAGAGATAAATTCATACAAAAGCCTCAGTCACCTAACCCAGGAGTGGGGAATCTTTAGCCTCGAGGCAACAAGGGGCCCTCTAGGTCCTCAAGTGCGGCCCTTTGACTGAACCCTACCCCTGACCTAACCTCTCACTCTGGTGCTCCTTCTACAGAATTAGAAGGTGGGATGGGAGGAGTCCTTAGGGCACAGGGGGTAAAACCTGCTTCCTACACATGCCCTGGGATTAGGATCAAAGCTCAGTCTGGGGCCAGGCTCAGGGGATTTGGCGGAAACTCCATCCAGTCCAAAGTCTCCAATCCTAGCCTTCAGTAATCGGACCATCACCAACTAAGGCCAAAGAAAGGCTCCTTCCCTCTTCCCTGTTCCTGGACATACACTGTGTGTTTTATCTTCAGCAGAACATCTGGAAAGACCAGATGTTTGCATCAAGAACATTTCCTGGGCACTCCTAAACAAACCATGCCAAGGGGACATAAGGAAATAAGGCTGGAGGGCTCTCTGTTTTCAAGGGACTAACTCTGGCTATCCCAGATGCTCCTTTCTGAGCGATGTGTAGAGAAAGGAGGTAGGGGAGGACTTCACTTAGCAAAAAAACAAAAAACAAATGCGTGCATGTGTGCATACATATGCACAGACATAGCAAACTTCTGGAAAAAATATAGGAATGACAGCTTGTTAATAAACATTTTCTAAAAACAACTGTATATGTAATTCTCTTTAGTTCTTTGCATACTGAAATGCTGTTTCAATGATTCACTTCATAACAAAAAAAAATTAAATTACAAGAACCAAGAAATTTGTTTAAAATATCCTCTGGGATCCAAGATACCTTCCCCCTCCTATACCTTCTGCTCTCAAGGTGGGGGTCCATGGGTGCAGGAACATGCTAGATAACATCAGATTTTTTTCTGATGTGCGGATTGATTTTGGCTAAATTTCAATTTTTCTAGTATTCAGGTCATAGGGTTGAGAGCAAATTCTCACAATTCCTCCTCCCTCCAGAGAAACTTGGAACTACTGGGACTCAGGAGCAAAAGAACAACAGCCGTGCATGAGTGAATGAATGTGTGAGTGAGCGTGTGTGTATGTGTCTGTCTGTCTGCCCATGACCCTTCCCTGCCAGCCTCCATGATCACCAGCTTGTTTCCCTGTGGAAAAGGTCCTGGTATCAGAGGCCCCATGCCTCTGATGCTTACTAGTTGGGGGACCTTGGGGATGAATCATTTAACCAGTCTGGGCCTCAGTTTCCTCATACGTAAATGAGGGAGTTGACTAGATTACCCCTAAGGTCTCTCCCAGCCTTCAATCTATGGTCCTCTAGACTCAGCTGAAGAGACCTCAAGGGCAGAGGGACAAAACTGGGTCAGTTGCCCTCCCCAACCCCCCAAAGCCCAGATGCCTAGAAGAAGTCTTTCCTAGTTAGACATGGTTCCCATCATGTGGCGGGGAGGGCAACACCAAAGTATCTCTCCTCCAAGCTCCCTTATAACCAGAACAGAAACAGGGAGCTTAGTCTGGAGTTTGGCAACATGCAAAAGTTAAGTGGATTATGGAGAAATCGAACCCAGACCATTAGCACTCAACCCTGGGCTACCTAGACACTAAATGTGGCCCCTCTTTCTGTTCCCTTCAAGTGCTTTCTTGCATACCAGCTCCTCCGGGAGGGATTCCTTCCCCCATTTTACAGATGAGTACATTCAAGGCTAGAGAGGAAGAAGTGATCTGCCCACATGTGCACAGGTTGGTACTGGTAGACAGATGCAAGCATGGACACACACAGCTGAGCCATGCACCCAGGCCCACACGGCACATCACCAGACCACAACCCGTGCTCGGAGTTATAATCAGAATCCTTCCATCACACTCCACAAAGAGCAAACAAGGGCTCCGGGACCAATCGATCAGAAGGGGCCTCCCAGAGAAAAGGGGGAGAGGCTAGAGAGGAAGAGCCATCTGCCTCCCTAAGGGGCCTCCTGGACACTTGGCTGGACAGTCTGGACAGCTTGGCTACGCCAGCCCCCATACTGGACCCTGAGGACACAAGCTTATCAGCACGTTAAAGGTCACGGAGCTGAGCTCAGATAGGACGTCCAGCATCCAGACGGTTGTCAAAGAGAAAAGTAAACAGAGCAGGGGGCTAGGCCCAGGGCTGTCTGGCCAGGTAGGGGCGAGACCACAGACCAGTACCGCCTTCAATCAACCCCAATATTTACACACTGCCTACTGCTTATGTGGGTATATGTGTACATGGGAGGAGGCCTAGCCCCAGTGAATGGTCCTTTGGCCCATCTGTCAATGTTCAGCCCTGCCAGATACAGCAGGGACCCAGGTCTAGGAATAAGGAGCCTCTAACTGCCTCAACCACTGAGTGGATGGATGATCTTGGGGCTAGGTGCTTACTTGCCTCACCTGAGGCCTCAGATGGTCCCTCTTCCAGCTACAGTCACCAACACCACTCACATTTCTAGAGCACCCTAATCTAAGATGAAGGGCTTTGTCATGTTCTTCTAACAAATAAGCCCATGAGTTTGGGAGTATAAGACTTTTCATGCCCCCTACACAGGAGAGGAAACGAGCTTGGACACTATGACCTGTTCTGACCCAAGAACAGGCAGAAGTGAGATGTAAACACCCAGGGCGTCTTTGATCTCTCCAGAGCCAGCACTCTCTTCCTAGCAAGCCCGGCTCCCTCCTCCTGGCATCCCAAACCCCAGTTCTCATTCTAGGCTTGCTTTCTGGAAACTCCCACAGGCCTCCCCCTCTAACCCCACTAATACCCACTGTCATGCCCAGCAACTAGAGAACACAAGCCCCCATCTCTCCCTAAGCCCTCTCACCAACCCGGGCTATAAAGGCAAAAGTAATCCAAACACCTCTTCTAAGGAGCCCCAACCTTGGGACAGATGCCTCCCTGCTTTATTTAGGGTCCCCAAAGAAGATCTGGAGGGGCAGACTACAAACCTCAGGGCCTGACCACCCTGGGGCAAGAGAAGTGACCTTGGGCCTATTAGTGTCCTAACCTTGAGCTGGTCCACCCCTCATTCCTCCCCACTCCAAACCACCCGCACCAAGCTCCAGACCCCAAACATACTCCCTTCTCTCTCTCTCTCCATGGCCAAAACATCTGCTCTGGTCAGAAATTAGCTTATTAATAATTTATTCTCTTTGCCTGCGGTTGGCCTCCTTGGCTGATAATAAAAAGGAAAAGAGAGAGAAGCCAAACTAAGGAAAGCAGCTAGCATTTCTATCACATTTTAAGGTTTGCTAAAGCACTTTGCTTAAAATAACAATCGTAGCTAAGGATTATACTGCGCTTACTATGTGCCAGGTACTGTGCTAAGTGTTTTATGATTATTACATCACCTGAGCCTCACAACCAACCTGGGAAATAGGTGCTATTACTATCCCCATTTTACAGATGAGGAAACTGAGGCAAACAGAGGTTAAGGGACTTATCCAGGGTCACACAGCACTGAGGACAGATTTTTCAGTCAGATTTTCCTGACTATCCACTGCCATCTCACTGATACCCACCAACAATGCTAGGAGGCCATCACTCTTATTATTCCTATTTTACAGAGAAGAAAACTAAGCACAGACAGGTTAAACAACTCATCCAAGGTCACAGCAAGTACCTGAGAAGGGATTTGAACTCAGCTTTTTCTGACTTCTAGTCCCTCACTACCAGTTTGCCAGGTAAATCCAAATCACTGGCTGGGCAATCCTCAGCATGCCACACTCTAGACCCTTCCCCAGCTGTATGGGCACACTTCCTTGATCCCAAGAACCCTTTTAACAGTGGGGCCGAGTTACTCACAGTGCAGGTAGTCAGCAAGGTCGCCCCCATTGCAGTACTGAAAGAGAGAAGAGAAAAGTCAATCTCAGGTGTCATGACAGTTTCCCATCTGTAAAACCTCCAAAGGGCTCTCCCCAGCTCAAAATTCTGTCTTCTGAAGACCCTCCCAGCTCTGACATCCTATATTCTAAGGGCCCTCCCAGCCCTGACATTGTGTTCTAAGGGCCCT